TGCAGAGAGCTGGGGATGAGTCTCTTTAACCAAGTAACAAGCGATAGGACAAGAGGGAATGGCCTCAAGTTGTGCCAGGGAAGGTTTACACTGGATATCAGGAAATATTTCTTTACGGAACGGCTTGTTGGGCGTTGGAATGGGCTGCCCAGGGCAATGGTGGAGTCCCCATCCCTTTAGGTGTTTAAGAGCCGTGTTGACATAGCTCTTAGGCACATGATGTAGTTGAGATCAGTCAGTGTTAGGTTAATGGTTGGACTGGATGATCTTCAAGGTCTTTTCCAACCTAAATGATTCTGTGATTCTGTATTTTAAGCGAGTAAATTTGCTGCTGGTCACAGCATTCTGTGTCATCTTGTACATCTGGTACACATCCAAAACATGCACTTCTGACTACAGAGACAGCACTTCATCTTCTTCAGTAACAGTCAAGGAATTAAATGGGTCTTACTGGGCATATGCTTAACTAATTCACTCAGTTGTAGCTATATAGAATTTGGCCATCTAGTTTAAGCTAGTTGTTACACTTCTAATGTAGTGTGGTACACTTTGATTTAAACACATTCAGAGAGTATCAGAGTGAACCAGTGTTCATCCCAGTACAAACTGTAATTCAGAAATTCTCTAGATCAAAAGAAGTAGCCAGGATGACTAGCTTGAATGTTTGAAATACTTAATAACTTAAAGCTCACAACATTTCCTCACTCTTATTTTTGCAAAAACACCCTCCCTCATGTGGACATCCTTGGGAAAAAAAATAAAATGTGCAGTTTGTTCAAGATCACTCAGAAGAAACTGTTCTTTCATTTGGAAATCATTGCATGCATTGCCAATGGCATTTTTATTCCTTACACTTTAGATGAAAAATGTTTAATAGTCTCTGGGAAGTATGCCATTGAATTATCAGTTGTAGGAACTTGTTTTGATATCCTGATGGAAGAAGTGCAGTCTTCTTGGGATTAGTCTCAAGAAGGATTTCATCTCCACGCTATAGACCTGATTTTGCAATGCACTTAAGTAAAAGCCATTGCTAAGTAGGGCTCTCCAAAACCAATGTTATGCATAAACTGAAGTTTGTTCTATCATACCTGTGGTTTGGTGTGACTGTTATTCTCTTTACTCTGATAGGAAATGACGCAATTGGCAAAACTGCATTGGAAATGCCGAAGTGTTGCCATTATTTCCATCCTTCATCTTCATTCCAATTTAATGTGGTTGGGAATAAGGCCAGGCACCCTGGGAGTTTGCCTGCCCATCTAAGGGTCCTTGTTACTACTGCACCTCTCTTCTGGCTTCCCCATACACCATCAGAGGAGAGAAAGATGATAGTTCATTTCTCTGACTGTTGTTCTCCTGAGATAAAGAGACCATCAATGCCCTTTGTATTTCTCATCTAGGAAATGACATGCTTAAATAGATTTGCTGTTCCTGCAGAAAGGCAATGGTCTTGATCTTCTGACAAGATTTGTCGAGTTACATAGATCTGTAAAAAACGAGTTTACAATGTAGGTAGAAAGTATGGCCACCTGAATAGTACATTTAGTTGCTCTGTTTTGTTTAGTTGTTTTGTTGGGGTTTTTTTTACTCACTATCTACAGGACATAAGTAAACATCATTGATCAAACAAGGTGAAAGGAATTGCACACGTTTACAGATGAGGGAAGCTATTCTATTTTCTGTAGCACAGATTGGTGGGCCCAGGAGGACAGAATTTGAAACAACTATGATACAGTTTGACATATATTGCCAAATTCCTCTAGTTTACCTGAAACAGAATGTCCTTAACTCTCTTTATGGTAGATGGGAGCTCATCTGTCACATACACACAGAGAATGAAAATGGTGCTGAGATTTGGGGGTTTTATTCCTGTAAGGTACAAATATATAGAGAGAATTTGAGGGAAACTAATTCTAGCATTTGCTTTGTGTACACTTGCACAGTCAAGATACTGTCTGTTCATTATTTTTCTCCTCAAGTTACTAAACTAAACTCAGTTAACTTTATTTAGCTTGGTTCAGGTTAGAGATTTTTACCAGTCATTAACATAAAGACATCAACACATCCTGAAGCAGAGGGACCTGCATAGATTTAGGACAGTCAAAAATTTGACCTTTCTTATATTATCTTTAATTTCAAGCAGATACTAAATCATTCACTGATATAGACAAAAGGCACAGATGGAAGTGTCATCCTATGCCACTGAGAGGAAGTAATTTACAAACCCTTAGACAAAAGAAAATGGAACAGCACTTCTTGCCTTAATTTTCTGTGTTGTCCAATGCATGTGAAATTAAAGTGTCCTCAAAGTAACAGCACAATTTGAGTGAGGGTGACCTTATAATTATATGAAATACTACTGAAATCACAAAGAAAAATGCTAGTGTTTCAAAATATCTGGAGGGTGGAAGGGGTATCTTTAAATGAGGCTGAAAAGACTGACAATAAAAAATAGCTCTTCTCCACTTTTAAGCAAAGTAATTTGAAATAATTTTTTCTACATAAATCCACATTAGATGTATTTTTTAAAAAGGATCTTTTTCTAGCCATGTTTATTCTGTAGAGCAATCTGTCTTTATTTTCAACAAGACAGAATGTAATTCATAATACAGTTACCTGAAAGGCCACTGATATGCTTAGAATTAATGATCTGCTGAAATTCCTGATTAGAGCTCTCATAAGTAAACTCAGAATAAGTTCTCATTACAGAGTTTACTTTTATTATTATATCATTTAAAAATAAATATTTGGTTTTAATTTGATAAGCCCTTTATGTTAATACAACTAGATTATTTTAATGTGGAAAGAAAGAGAGGACTTATTTGACAGGTTATCACTGCAGATGGAGTGGGGAATCCACAAATCATCAGTAGAAAAAAATGGGTTTGGGCATGACAGTGAATTTACTAACCCTTCCTTTTCTGTTGTTGTTGTTGTTGATGATGTTGTTGTTGTTGTTGTTTAATCAGGATTGAATATACATAAAGGAATTTCAGAGTAAATTTCACAAATGTATCCTGACTGATCTGAATCAGACACTGTCAAAGTATAATACACCCATATGATCAAAAGTATATCAGACCATGTAACAATAAATTGATTTAATTATGTACCATAGAGGGGTTAAAAATTCCCTTGGAAGGAAATCAACTGTTTCTAAAATGATTGCTTTTTTTTTTTTTTTCTCTAGGCTGTACTTTGGAGGTACAAGTTTTCCCAGCTCAAAGGTTCTTCAGATGATGGGAAGAGCAAAATCAAATTTTTGTTCCAAAACCAAGATACTAAACAAATTGAAGCAAAGGTAAAAACAGTACATTGTTTGTTTTATAAAGACAGTGTAAATTAAAAGCAGTTTTCAAAGCTGTCAGAGGCATAAATTAAACTAAATTACTTTCAAATATTAGATTAATACAGAAAGTCAAAAAATGCAAAGAAAACCAAAGAAACTCCAAGAAAAATAAACCCTGAATCAATTGCTTGGATTTTTACTAAAGTCTTTTGAAAGGTGTAATTACATTTAAAAATAATGAACCCCAAGACTCACTATGTATGGTTTTAGACGTGTTTGCCAGCTCTCCTCTTTATCATTTTGATAAAGTTGACTGAGAGTTTGAATGCCCTGCTTTTCGCCCTATACTCATATCATGATGAAATGGTGCAAAATAAGTCAAACCTGGGGACAAAACCCAGCAAAGGTCTAAAATGTGTTTTTATTTTTCAGAGCAAAACAGTGTGGATAAAACATATACTCCCTTACAGGCTGAAGTTTTGTGTCTAATTCAAAATCAGGAAATAAGTATTTTCAGTTGTGCTTCTGATTCAAGAGTTGATTTATGAAATCAGTAACCCTGAGAGATTTATGCTTACTTTGATTTATGTTTTTCGAGAATAGGGCATTTATTGTCCCAGTGTGTGTGAGGAGAAGTGATGTCCCAGGATCTTCAATAACTGGAACTGCCTTAGCATCTAAATTGACGGTCCTTTTGACTAAAATCCTGATTTTTGTGCAAATATAGAGACTGTTTTCCTGGCCATCTTTAAGCCTTGCTTCTGAAGCATTTACTATAACATTTTTCCTGACTGTGTCAGAGAAAAAATTGCTGAATGAATGTAATAACAATATGGTTCCATGAGCAAAAAGGAAATGGTTAAATACATTGTTGTCTAAAAGGGCTAAATATGCACAGCATAATAAAGTATGTAAAGAAAAAAGGCATTGTGTCAGGAGCAGTCGTTTAAATGCAAACAGCTGCATTAAGCAGCTATTTTTTCCTTTCTGCATGTCTCTTTATGTTTGGTATTAATTATTTTCTACCTAACAGCTATTGACTTGGTTTTAAATGTTGTGCTCAATACAATAAAGGTCTGTAAAAGCTCCCATTAAAACAACAGCAATGAAATATGGTGGACTGTGGCTTTCAATACCTTTATGTTCTGCTACATCTCAAAGATATTTTCTTACATCTGCTTTCCTTCAGAAATTATTCTAATAGTACATAATTTCTTTTCATCTCTAATAAGAAAACAGAACTTAATCTAATGTCATGAGGATAATTTTCTCTTAAGCAAATAACTAGAAACTTTTATCATGCTCCTAAGTATAGCTGAAGGCTGAAAGTCATCATTACTCTTCTAATATATGTCTGCTATTGCCATTATATTAGCACATGATTTTAGGACTAAAGAAGTTTTGTAGGAATCCAAGAATGGGTCAGTATTTCTTTGTTTTCAGTAAAACTAGAATATCTTTTTAATACTTAATTAAATTTTTTAAACCCCATCAAAGTCCAAAATATACATTTTGATGAAGAAAAATAGTTTTTATCAGAATGTTTTTGTGTTTTAAATTAAATCCATCATGCAAATCACTATAAACCTTAGAGATACCCTGGTACCTTTATAGTACCTATTGTTATTCCCACTCAAACTGAATAGAGCTTTATTTCTAGAAAATTTTATCCCACTTCTTTTCAAGTTAGAAACTCTACCTTCTACGTTACAAAGACAGAATATTATACAAACCTTCCAGCATGCTTATTAATATAGTATCATGTTTTCTGGTTGCTTCTTTTTGTTATAAATTTAATCTTTCACAATGATTCATGGAAAGAAGAGTTTGCTACTTTTAATTCATTTTCTTGGTGATCAAATCATACCAATTATATCACGATTAAGAAGTGTCAGATTATGTTGTCTTTGGAAGGTGCTGTGGCATTTTTAGTGAGCGTTGTTATCCATTCCAATTTGTTTACATATGAAGTATGTTGCTTAGTCTAAGAAATATAGATAAATGTGGCTATAAAATGAATGTGAAGATTCTCGAGTCATATTTTTTCAACTTTGCTTAGTTTAAAATTCTGTGGATGGGCCCCTTCAGTATCCTTTAAGCCTTTTATGGATTTAAAGCATTATTCAGCATGAGAAGAGGTGGAAGTATCTAGATTCTGGTTTTTGGATTTAACATTACGGAGTTAGAGGTATAGCTATTTGGGGAACTCTCAAGTCATTAGGAAATGTTAGATTTTCAGAAATGCGTATAATGCTAGGATTCATGCACACTGTATGTGGGCTTTATTTGGAATTAGATGTCAGGAAGTTTGTAAAACATCTGTTAAAGGTTGTGATGAATATTCATGGCCACAGCTATCATCACCTGTGAAATGCAGCTCTGTGCTTCAGATGGCCTGAAGACCCACTGTTGTAAGGGGAAATATAACATAGCATTTTATTTATGTAAAGATATTTTTTACCACTTATATTACATGGGGAATAGTCAAAATATAATGGAATGGGAGCTCACAGTTGAGAATAAAACCAAAATCCTGAGGAGCCATTGCCCCAGCATATTATGGCTCTTCAGTTTTGCCTTCTTAAGCAGTAATGTGGAAGCAGGGCATGGCAGGTAACTTTGATACAGCTTAAAGAGAGTCACTAGAACTGAGAGTGCTTTCTTCCCCATCATTGTTAACACTAACACACTGTATGCAGAACCTGCTATGGCATACACATACCTGACTGAGAGTCCTGCTTTTCTTGTCTCTAAGGTCTGTTTTCCACCGTCTCCAAGCTCCAGCTGTGGCACTGACGGAATGTGTTAATGTATTTAGTGCACTATAATTCAGTTACTCGTTGCAAATGTGAGGTGGTCTGGCCATAGGGGTTTTTTTGTTGTTTGGTTTGTTGTTGGGTTTTTTTTTTGTAATATTATTGTTTTCATCATGGTTGACAGCTGGATGACTATGAGCCAGCAGTGTGCCCAGGTGGCCAAGAAAGCCAATAGTATCCTGGCCTGTATCAGAGATAGAGTGACCAGCAGGACTAGGGAAGTGATTTTCCCCCTGTACTCAGCACTGGTAAGACCACACCTCGAATGCTGTGTTGAGTTTTGGGCCCCTCACTACAAGAAAGACATTGATGTGCTGGAGTGTGTCCAGAGAAGGGCAACGAAGCTGGTGAAGGGTCTGGAGCACAAGTCTTATGAGGAATGGCTGAGGGAACTGGGGTTGTTAGCCTGGAGAAAAGGACACTCAGGAGAGATGTTATCCTCCTCTACAACTACCTGAAAGGAGATTGTAGTGAGGTGGGTCTCTGTATCTTTTCCCAAGTAACAAGTGATAGGATGAGAGGAAATGTCCTCAAGTTGTGCCAGGGAAGGTTTGAATTGGATATTAGGAAAAGTTTCTTCATCAAAAGGGTTGTCAAGCATTGGAATGGGCTGCCCAGGGAAGTGGTTGAATCGCCATCCCTGGAGCTACTTAAGCGTGTGGCACTTAGGGTCATGTTTTAGTGGTGGACTTGGCAGTGTTGGGTTTACAGTTGGACTTGATGGTCTTAAAGGTCTTTTCCAGCCTAAATGATTATATGATTCTATATTATTCCTTCCTGTGAAAATATGAGTTATCAAAATCCAAATGCTTCCTGTCTTCCTTCATTTACCATGCTGCACATTTTGTGTATCTCATGCTATCCCAGATGTGTGTAATTATAACATGCTGGTTTTCTGCAATAATATCCTTTAACTTTAAAACACTTACTCATTCTCTAGAGAATTAAGAGTGTTAGAGTGCTTAGCTATTGATTTTTGTTCCAAAATTTGGATAAATTTTCTATTACTCTAGAAATACATTCAGACTTCTAGATGGAATTGCTTGGAAAAAAATAATTATGCATCAGCATTTTACATTTTAGCCTTACTGTCTTCATAATTTTCCAGCATCTCCTCTGTATTGTGGTGGAACTTACAGAGATAATCGTATCTAGGAAAAGCACCTTTTCAGAAAAAATGCAGAACCACATCCATTCATCAGTCAGGGCTTTTTTATATATTTATATATATATATATATATATTGAAACACACTTACCACCAGAGTTTATATTCCTAAGTGATAGAAAGTCCTTCACTGACACTGAATAACTAATATTTTTATAATGCTGTCAAAATTTTTTACAGTGTGCTACATGCCTGAATTAACAAAATTCAAAATGGCATGCTTTGAGACACACAGTATGTGCTGTGGATTTAGTTACAGTTTAACCAGGTATACTTCTTTTCAGCTTGAAAATAATTCAAGATATTTATACATTTCCATTATTCTCTCAGATATTGTTAAAATACTGCCTTTTTTTTTTTTTCTGTAGAGACTTTGTACTGATACCTTTGTTTGACTTTTCTGTAAGTAATATCATGTTACTATAAAGATATAGAGTGTAGAATAAAAGAAGTGTTTCCTCATAGATTTAAGCAATTTCAGTCTAAAAAATCTGAACAGTAATTACCATAGGTCACACCAGTGGGTCCATGGCAGGGTGCCTGGATGCAAACACCTAACATTGAAGGTTTCTAATGAAAGATCTAAGTGGTTTCTGAGAAGAAAACCACTTAGGGGCAACATTAATCACCGATACCCCTTAGACATTCCAATCTCTAGGTTATTTCCCAGCTGTCACTCAGCAGGAGATATTGCACAAGTTTGCACAGTCAGACAGAATTTTTCTGACTGAGAGCTAGAAAATAAAGCTGTCGTCTTGGCAGAACGTGGAGCCTACGTGTCCCTCTCCCTCATTCTTACTGGGCTGATGGAGTTGGGTTGAAAAAAACCAAACACAGAAGGACAAAGCTTTCTCCTCATCTATAAGACATAGAAATTCACTTAGGCACCTCCCTATCTATTTGTCTATTTGTTTAGCTATAGTTTAATGATCCATTAGTGTCTCTCCAGTATCACAGCAGGTTCCAGAGGCTAACACAATCTCAGGACTGTAATAAACTCAGAGTGCTGTGCTCTTCAGTTTTACCTGGCTAAGTATTGGACCACCGCAACAGAAGCTGCTTTTTATTTTTCTGACAAAAAAGTACCTTAAATCTATGAGAGATCCTATTTCGAGCTATATATATATGCATGCTCCCAAACATAGGAATATACAGTGTATATGAAAATCAGCATGAGCTCTGTTTTTCTTATTACATGCAATTTCCATTTGAATTTTGTAAGTAAATGCACCAGTCAGTAATTTCTGTTAACTGAGAGTTTCTGTGCATTGTAAAACATATGTATAAGTCGAAAACTACACTCCAGTCTGTGCTTTCACCTTTCTCAACTTGTAGGGCTTTTTCACAGCTCAACAATTTTGTCAGAAAATCTCAGGCAAGGTCACACAGCTGTGCTGCATCAGTTAGCTTTTGTTCACAGGCTAGTTGAACCCCTAAGCTGAGTGTTACAAAGTGAATATAAAAATCAGCACAACAAGATAAAGATCCAGTCAATTCTCTTTGCCTATTTGAACAGGGAAAAAAGAAGAGAGTGGAAATATGGTACCAGAAAAGGAAGAAGTGTAACTTTAAGGATTTAGCGTTAATACTTATTAATTCATTAATATTACCTTAATAGTAATTAACACCAATTAATTTGTACTTGAAGTTTTCTTGTATAGAAATCTAATTAAAATAAGACAAATAGCCTGAGTCACTGCTGTTGTAATGTGAACAAAATGCTCTCTTCCAAGTGTTGCAAGGTATCTCGATGGATGCTTGCACCATTTTCCAGAATGATATTTTTGCTCATTTCAAGTGTATTCTCCAAAATATAATTTAAAATTAATCTTTGTTCTTAGCCTTGAGTGTTTTTCTGTGAGTATTGCAGTGTTATTCAAAATTAGAAGATCATCTTTAAATCGGTTTTAAGGATACATCCTTAGGATTTTTACAGTGATTGCTCAATTGCAGTGACTGCAGTCTGAGTTCAGATTTCTAACCTGTGTAGGCCTGTGTGATGCAATTTTTAGTTTCCCCATGTCTTGTACATGGATTGACTGTTTAATACCTATTTTAGATCAGATTCTATGCTAATATAAAGAGACCATGTAACATCATTCTCATATCAGCAATTTATATATTGATGAAGGAAAATATTTTTTCTAACCATAAAATGAATACTTACAAATTTACAATTGCTTGGTTTTGTAGATGTATTGCTTATGTACTCGTATCATTAATATAATGCAATAAGAGTTGTTTTTTTTTCATCTGGGGGCACTCTCTGTTTTCTCTTTTCATCTCTGTCCTTCCAATCCAGGCTTCCTTTCTGAAAGGTTACAGAAACACCTGTGATAACTGTTGATAATAGTTGTACTAATGCACTGTGAAAATTCAGTGTCCAGTAGCTGTAATTATGATAGTAAGAACTTTCAGCTAGTAGGGTTACCTAATTGACTTGAACAATTCTCAAACTGTAATATTTGTTTTAATAGGCTTATTTGGTTGAGACATAGGGGGAAATGTAGTCTTTCTACACGTAACACGCAGGAATTATATTACAAATATTTCACTCTTCCACTAAATACATACTCTCTCATCTTAAGCTTCAGTTTTAATTTTATAGTACCAGAAGGACAAATAATATTATACTAACAAAAAGGAGTGAACTGAAAAGTAACTTAATTTGAATGACTGATAGTTCTTATTCTGAAACAGCTTCATAATAGCTTCCATTGTTTTTCTATCTATGATAAATTTTCTTTTTTTTGACATTTGAGTGAGGAAAAAGACCTTTGGCATAGTGATAAAATTGCCTTTCTCCCAGTCTTTAAAAATGAGAATGTCTCTAAACAGATTTTTTTAAATGGACACAGATGGCAGGTTTGTGAAACTTGGCATAAACTTTATCTTCTTTATTGAGAATTGGTAGTTAGTGGAGTTTAAAGAAGCTCTTGGGATGTTATAAATTCATTTCTGAGCATGTCTGAAGGACATCTGCTCAGGTTGTAGGAGAGCTGAACAAAGCTCCACTCCAGTACATCACTGGACACTGCACATGCAGCTGTCTGCTTTCAGGCAGTTTTCCCCCTCACACTTGATGGATTTGTGAATGTATCCATGAATTATGTGAAGCAATATCTTCCAGGGAATATCAAAAGTCAGAAACTTGCAGGTTAAAGTCATTTTGAGAGATTTAGCCATATTTGCTGAATTTATAACATTATCAATATTCTTCTAAACAAAAAAAGCAAAATCTTGGCACTACATAGCCTGGAAATACCAGTGCTGGAAAGACAAATAGAATATGCTACAGGTATCTATAACTGGCTTTATATTACAGTGTAGAAATCTGTATAGGCAGTGAATCAAAACAGAAAGATGGCAACTCTGAACCACCATCCTTACACATATATGTATCCAAATACCTCAGTGTTTGCTTTCAAATGCAACAGATATTTACGGATTAAATGCCAACTCTAAAAACACATACTGCAGATAACCTAAAAAAAAATCAGATAAAGTTAATTGGACACAAAAGAGAAGATTTATATATATAAAATTTTCTAAGTTTTATTTATTTCCAATGTAAGGGTGTCTAAAAGAGTCCCAGCTAGTCTAGTGACATGCTGGGGAGCTATAAAGAAATGTAAATCAAAGTAGAAAAGGAAGGACTTTGTCTAATATTGCTAAGTTTAAAACCTGGAGTCTGTTCTTTTTTCAGTCTAATGACAGTAACCCTCTCAGTGAAAACAGATCCAGAATATCACTCTGTAATAGTAGCACTTTTGATTTTTGTGGGTATGTTGGGTATACAGTAGGAGTCCAGGGATGTGTACACTGTTATGGTGCAGTCTTTCAATTTCTATATAAATTAACGTGCAAAAGTGACAGATTTGTATAAACCCGAGGGGGGGGTGGAAAAAAAAAATCGGTAGTGTCACTTCCCTTTTCTTTTAGCTGGTAGGATCACATATTTCTGTGGAGGCACTTAACTCAGAAATTTGTCCATCTTCCAAATAATTATTTACTGAATGAGGATAGCTCAGTATCTAAGCCCCTATAATGGAGAATTGTCAGGCACATTAGCAAAATTACATCAAACTACTACATTTATTGCTATGTGAATAGTGGCTCTTTCCTGGGTATATGTTTGTGAGGTGTTCTCTTGTTTCATATTTAATCTTTCTGTTTTCACTTGCAGGAGCTGGAGTTCTCCAACCTGTTTGCAGTCCTTCACTGTATCCACTCATTCTTTGCAGCCAAAGTGGCTTGTTTGGACCCTTTGTATGTAAGCAGTCAAGCCACATCCTCTGCTGCTCCCACAACTTCTGGTACTGGCAAATTAAAGTATACTACTTGACATCTCACATTACAGCACTGCCACTTAACAACAAGACGTAACAATGTATAAATATTCATAAGTTGTAGACCTTTGGTGAACCATGTACATGGAAACCAGTCCTGGAGGCAAGACATCTTGCAGCATCAGCAGATAAATGGTCACATGGATCATAAATTCATCTCTGTTCTGCAAGACATCAGTAAATAATCCTAGTCAAAATCCCAAAATAGGATGGATACGCTTTTAGTATGATATATTTGTACTTAGATAGTGCTTTAAGCAATGCTGGAAGCAAAGGAATAAATGATGAAATGAAGCACTTCGGTATTTAATAAAATTTTCAAATTGCTGTAATAATACACAAATAGAATTGTCATTCTGTTTTCAGATGGTTTTTATGACAATATACTAATTCCTGAGTATGAACTTAATACCCTATTATTATATTATAAATTACATAAGAGCAAGCAACAAGCATATAGTACATGGTGACGAGGAGATAAGCATGAAAAGGCGTTTTGTGTAAAAGTATCTCCTCAAATACGAAAGCACTTTAAGCAGTGTTGTAAATCCATACTTTTGTCCATACATGGAATCATGCTACTTTTTCTATTCTGTTCTTCTAGTCTCACAATAGCAACAACAAAGATAGAGCCATATTGGACTGATACATAAAAAAAAAAATTAAAAAAAATCCAAAACAAAGCCACAAAAAGTCAAAACACCTTTCCATGAGTAAGTCCCTCTTCTTCAAGTAGAAATAATGTGATATGAATTTAAATTACAGATTAAATGCAAGTGCGTAAAATATCCTGTCTGCCATTTACCTCCTCCATTTTTTTTTGGTCAAGAATTAAATTCTGTAAATCTAATAGTCTTTGTTCACAAGACTCAGCTGTTGAATTTGTTTCAGATACAATCTCCACCCAATACATTGTTTCCATGTTTAACCTTGGTTTCACATCATAAGTAGAACCTCTGTTCCACTCAGGCTCTCAACAAAATAGACATTCTACATTATGATTAAAAAGTGAGTCCACCCTTTGAATTCTTATTAATCATTTTTTTTATATTTTTAGTAAAAGACAGGAATAAATTAAACAACCTGTGAAGAATAGCTGACAAAATGCATATATTTGTTTTTTAAGAATATTAAATCACTCTGGACCACATACTAGTTCCAGAGTATCATTTAATGATGAAATCTGAGTGAGTTGTAAATTTAAAATTAATTATTTAAATATAATTTTGCAAAGTAATTTAATTTTGTGCTATTACACACATTGGTAAAGATTGAAAAATGGTGGGAGTGTGTGTGGGATGTAACTTAAAAAACAGAAAAAATGAAGGATTTTTTTTTGCCAGACAGGAAAAAAGAACCTAAAATACTGTAGGAAGAACAGCTAGTGCAGGTACAGTGTATTCATAACATTGTAAATAGTACTTTGTGGGGTTTCTGTTTATTATATTGAAAAAAAAATTCTTCCTTTTTTTTTTTATTCCCCACTTAGACTTGTTATAAAAGCACATAGCATGTAAGGTTTATGGACACTGTCTGCTTTGTTTAGCAGAAAGACTAGTTCCGTCACATCCTTTTCTACCTATTAAGATAATTAAAACTTGAAAAGTAAAGCCAGAGGAAAGGGTTTTTTTTGTAATAGAAACAGTACAAAATGCAATGCAGAGACAAAAGATGAATGAACTTTAGGGGCATATCATGTCTCTGTTTTTCTGCTTTGCATTAGAAGTATCTGGATTTATGTGTGTGAGAGTATCCTTGCTTTGAAGTATAGCTTATCTCACTTGATACTAGTTCCAAATAATCCAAAAATATATTTTCTAGGGACTCTTTCATCACTTTCAAATGACTTTCAGTACATGCTTACTTCTTAGTACATCTCCAAGGGTTACACATTTATTTTCCAAGATAAATACAATGAAATTATGTCATAATCCAGCTATTAAATGCTTTAAGTGTCATCAAAATCCAACATTTTCATAGTCATCATTATGTGGGGTTTTTTATATGAATTGTTCCGAAATAAGAGAGTCACATCCTGGTCTCTGAAGACACATAAAACTACTTTGACATTCCATGCATGGGATCTTGTTCCTGAGATATTTTGAATCCAAAGCTACAACAGTCTAAGGGGTTTAATGATGGTAACTCATGCACTGTCCTTGTCAAGAAAGCATATACTGGAAACACAAATTTTGACAGAGCACTGACAATGCTGAAAACAGAAGCCTATATCTGTTTATGGCAGTTCTCCTCCTCTGCACTCCCGAATCATCTCCTTCCTTTTAGTGCATTGCTGTGGCATTCAGCTATCAGAGTGTTGGCATGTGCTAACACCTCAGTAAATGCTCTGGTGGTAATAACAGAATCTAAAACTAATCAGTTGCCAGTTGAATGTTTTTCCTTCAACTGTTCATGTTATGTGCACAGTTGTACCTCTGAAACTGAGAGTTGTTTAAAGGATGTTGTTTAATGGTCTTAAATGAACATAGCATTTACCCAAACCAGCATAAATTATGTCATTGCAAATTGCTGAAGATTAAGGCCCCCTCCCCCCAATTTTTTAAAAAATGCTCCTTGTGCAGAAGTGATGGCATCAACTTTTGGGATTCCACCAGGGTATAATAAAGATCTCTGTCAAGTATTCTGCTTGCAGAACTGCTGTATTCACCAATGAGACTTTTGTAACTGGGCATTAAATATGCAACGTTTAAGAAACAAACATTAGCCTGTAAAATTGATTTTTTTTTGTTCTTCTAAAACCCTATCTTTCAAAGAGCTAAACTGATAGGGCTTGCTTAATCAATACTTTTCTTTTCAGCAAGATAAAAGTGATATTGTGAGAATGTAAAATGCCATAGCCTTGACTGCAGGTCAGCACTGGTACTTGTAAATGCAACAGGGGGTTGTGCACTGACCTCACAGAACATTCAGAGGTGACTCTGCATCCAGTCTTGCCCTGTTAGAGCAAGTTGGTCAGACATTCAGTCTTGAACCAAAGAGGGAAAATTTTAAACTATGTGTTATAACTAAACCTAAAATAGCAAAATATAATTTACAAGCATATTAATTGCCTATATTTTTCATTTAAACACCTGCAGGAGATTCCTATTTAAAGCATAGTGAACTTCAAATGCATATGTCAAAACCCAATATGTCAAAACCCAGGCTTTATGTTGCAGCCTCTCATTTCACATGTGCCATATAATGAATACAAGGCAACACAGCCCAGTGACAGTCAAAAAACACAATTAAAGCAAGCTATCAGCTTTTACGAAAAATCTGTATACAAGTGAAAGCAAATATTTTTACAAAAACCCCAAACCCACCAACCCATACCATAAAATGTGATTTGTTCTCTTTGTCATGATATTCTTAAATAAGTTTAATTTTAAAAAGTCTTTATAGTACTGTGCCTATTGAAGTGATGTTATATAGTATATCAAAAATATGTACACTTAAATATAACTAAATACATTTGTTTTGATTTGCTTTTCTTTATGATGGAAATTTCAGATGATCTGACCTTCACGGAACTAATCATATGCTAGATGTTAGCTTAATTTTATTATGAAAGTGTTACTAATTTGAATACATGTTATTCTGGATTTCATCAGTGAATGAATAAATTTCATTTCCTACATCTGTTTAAAAATACAGTTCCAGATTTTCAAGAGCTTTCCAGTAACATGAGGGCGCCTATGAAATAAAATCACTATATTTGTAAATGTTGGCAATTTTATTTTGTTAATGAAGTGCAGCAAGAAGTTTGTGGAGACAAACTAGTTGCAATTAAAACCAGTGATTTGAAGGTTTGTCTATTCAAACTAGAATTCATAAGAATGCAAACCAATAATGTACAGTATCAATATGCTTGAAGATGAAAAATACTGGTTTTGAAATTAGTCCTTAATTCCACAAAAATCTGTTTCTTTGCTTTGTGAGTGTAGACTTTATCAGAACACCTAAAAGTGGACAGTTAAATATGAGTAGGTAGTTGCCAATACTGCTGCCTATTACTTTAAATGTGATTTGGTTTATTCAATGCCTTAAGGTGTTTCTTTATATCAAAAAAAAATAAAAATCTGAAGATCCTGTGAATGTACAGTTGCTGCCCTTAGAAATTCATCAAGTTTGCTACAGATTGTCTAAGTACCCTTGAGTATTCCCTATGCCAAAAAGAAAGACCAGTTTTCATCCTGGTATGACGATTATAAGAAACCTTTTGGAAAATGTAATTTTATTAATATTAAACACTAATCCTTCTATTGCACTTTCCATTTCATGACAGGGACTAGTCTCTGAAAAAGTGTAGCATCAAAAAAAAATTTAAGCTAATTTTAAAATGTTCAATCTTGGGCAATTATGAGTCTGTACTTTGGACTCCTCTGACCAATTCGGCATGATGGGCAAAATGGGACTCTCAACCTCCCAAAATTTAAGTACCTGTCTTAGCTGCCTAAGGTAGGGCTTGAGGCTCTCAAAGGGGAAATACAAGGCAGGAACATAGCTTAGGATCTCTGAAAGTGCACGCACCTGTGTGACTCCAGGGAGCTAGAGCTGCTTCTACATAAGTGTTTGCTTTTTGTCAGGAATGTGTTTTTGAAGCCAGGCTCCTGCCTGCTATCACTCACTGTGCTGTTCTTCATATTGCAGAGCAGGCTTTAAGCACATGTATTTAGGATGAAACTAAATTGAACATCACCCCTATATGAGTTGCAGGTTCTGATAGTCTTTCAGACCATGAGGCCCCTCTGAAAGACTCCAGAGGAAAACTGACCCTGAGCTCCTAACAGCGAGGCTGCCAGGTCCTGGTGCCACCCCTTTCTGTGTCTGCAGCGGCGGCTGCTCGTACACCGTGTGGGTGCGTGAAGGACCCTAGAAAGCTGAACTTCACAGTGTAGCTCTCCAAAGCCTAGTGCCTGAAAGGGGATGATGCGCTGACACAAGGGGCAGAATGAACCTGAAGGAGGCTGATGGGTGCCCAGAGCAGGTTATTCTGCATCACCTTTTTCCCTCACCACACCAGGACAGTATTGACTCAAACAGACTACCCCTCAGCCCTCTCCCTGCTGCTCCTTTCTCCCTGTCTACCACAAATGCACACCTGAATGTTTGCTCTGAGGTCCCCAAGCACACTTCCCTGTTTCCTCAACCCCTTTGCTCAGACAGATGGCAAAACTACTCTCAGCTACATAACAGAGCCTCTAAACCTCTTACACAGCCAGGAGACAGAACTAAGGATTATAGCAAGGACATCCCTGTATCAATATGTGTGCTTGCGTGTGTGATTAATATTCAGGTTAAAGCAAATAAAGTCATATCTGAGCTTAAGTGCTTTCCTGACTTGGAGGGTTCTTAAGTGGAATTGTAGTATTTTCCTGGAAAAAAAGTCTGTAATGTCAGCACATTTCTACATGCTTGGCTCCATTTTCAGGACGTTTAGAAGAGGTAGTGGTTCATATTCTGTTGGAATCATAGAAAAAAGTGTAGGAATACTGGAATAAAAAGAAATTTCTGTTTGGATTCTGTATATTATTACAGTACATTACATAATTCTTAAAACACATTGAACAATGTAAAACTAAATGCTTTCATTTACATAACCTAGTCAGTTTTCACTATCGTATACATGCCTTCCACTTTCAACAACTTTCTCCACAAGAATCCCAACTATATATTATAGAAATTCTTTTATTATTCGGTATATACTAATATATAATGCATAGTGTGTGTGTATGTATGTGTGTGTGTGTGTCTATATATTAGTATATACTAATGGAAGATACTCAGTATATATTAATGAAAGTTACATATTAGGTACAACTATAAAATGGAACCATAAATCCATGAAGCTTTACATTTAAAAACCTTATAATACTATAAAGACAAATATGTATATTAGTTGAAGAAATGGCTATTTTTGCAGGATATGCACAATCTGGATATACAATAATAAATTGATAAACATCAACCGATTTACTATTTCATACCTCCAGGAACTTTGATTTTTTTAATTATTCTTATCCCTTTAGCATATTTGCAATATATGTCATAAGTTTTAATTTGTTATGGATAAAAATGACTGAAAAAAAAATGTAATAGAAAGTGCTATATATTTTATAAATATTAAAAATTTAAGAAAAACTATTCCAATTATTTATTTCATTTTTAGTTATGGTTTTGTGATCGTTTGTAATATGTATTTGTGACAAAAATAAGTCACCTAGTTGTTTAAGCTCATTAATGTACCACTAATAAAATGCTATCTTCTGTTTTGTTTTTGTTACGTTTTGTTTTGCTTCTTTTTGTAATGGAACATAACAGAAAAAAAATAGTAAATAAATACTTTTTTAACTAATCTTTTGCATTCAGTCATACAGTGTATGAGTTTTATATCATTGAAAGCCAAATCTGAGATCAAGAAAATACTTGAAGAAACTGGGGTGGTAAAGTTATATCCCAATACCATGTTCAACTGTTTACTTAATAGAAATAATAATAATTCCTTACTTGTATATGATCATGTCCACAAGGCATGTCACCCACTTAAAGTCTGACTAGGATTTCTGAAATATCTGCCTCTCCTCTGGCTATGAAGCTCATGCACAACCAGATCGTTTTACCACAGAACCACAAGATTATTTCACCACTGACATTTAATTGCTTAGTGTTGATTAGGATTAATTTGGGCCTGATAATTCAGTGCTTGAACGCATTTTTTGGTATATTTTTGCAAGTAAAGAATTTTTAAATGGTGCTGCAACTATTAGAACATAACCAACTTCAATGAGTTCGATTTTGTTTGTCCTTTTCCCTGACTGAGGGAAGAGATGCTAGAAGAAGGGGAGACCCTGCTTTTATTTAGGCACCATTGTATGTTTTCAACAAATTTAGATCTGCAGTTCAGATCCTTGCAGGCACATTTTTGGTGCCTTCCTCGTGCTTCCAGTGTGGAGAAGCCAGGTAAGATCCCTCGTGACAATGCTGCTGTCACCTTTCTCTCCCACTCCATCCACAAGCAGTCAGTAGGGCTTCGTGGACCTCAGGCTGGGTTTGACTTCCTCAGTTCTGTGCTCAAGGAAATCTCCCTTTCTGGCCCCAGCCCTTTCAGCATCTTGAAGAGAAGGAAAAATGTATGACATTTGTTGTAATTACCAGTGTGGAGAACAATTTGTCCTGAAGAAATCCTCAGTCCTTGTTCCCAGATGTGATTCAGCTGATGTGGGTTAACAAACATACATACTTCTATCATCACCTCACTTAGCTTCCTGTGTTTCAGGTTTGGTTTTATACCACATTTTAGTGAAAGGGCAGAAAAAAAAGAAAGAAAATATAAAAAAAAAAAAAAAAAAAAAAGGTGAAGAGAACCATAGAATACTACAAAGTTAGGGAAATCTTGGACGTAAGTATTCTCTGAATGTGCAGGAATCCTGTTATAGCTACCATTTCCATTTTCACTTTAAATAGGAACTACATTTTATATTAGGAGCATGAACTCACATAGAACTGAAATTCTGAATTATAATTTTTAATCTGTTTTTACATCTTCCCCACAGATTTTGACCTCAAATTAAAATTCTTGTAATCAAAGTTTCTTAAGATACATTCCTTGAATGAGTTTCTTTAAACTCATGGTACTTACGTTCCATAGCTAACACACTTGTTCTCCAAGCTCTACAACAATTTATTCTTGCAACATTTAAAATAAATTGTGGTCTATTTACCTGTGCAATTGGTCAAGAAAAGTTAGCACAGTACAATATTCACAGCTTACCAATGATTAAGTTGTACAGTTCTGTAGTATTCCTTTCCCAGTATTTTAACAGTGGCTATTCTTACATTTACCTATGAAGTAGCAACATATTTTTTTTTTTAAGTATTCTTCAGACACAATTCCCTTTACAAATAGAAAACTATATCCTTTAATTTCCTTATCAGGAAAAAAAAAAATTCTCAATAGTGCTACACAATTATTCAGAAAAGTGAAGAGAAGGATTTACTATATGGTGGATTTGTTGGCTATGTGCTTTATGTACTTTGTGCACACTCTTGAAACTCAGCAGAATTTCTTCCCAGCTCTTTTCTTTGCCATGTATGGCACAGATCCTTGCTACCAGACTTGTCTCAGGACTCCTTAAGACTATACACAAAAATTTATTAGTATAAAAATGCTGGGGCAGGGAGGTTTAATTTGGTCACAGGAAAAGACAGGACTAGACAAGAAGGCAAATCGCAGAGCTGGTTGTCCTGGTAGGAGCTATTACTGCTCTTGGGAGGAACAGCCAGCCCCCTTCCAGTTCCCCGGCAGCAATCCTTCTCCCTCTGCTCCTTCTTCTGGCAGCGGTGTCCCCTTCCTCTGCTGGTCTGACTTTTCAGGAATCCAACATGTGCAAAGTTGAGTGTTATGTATGGCACTTTTACCACCTCAACCCTTCAAAGCTATTCCTTTAGGTAGATCTGTGTTCACTGAGTTACTGAGTTCAGCAAGGAGACTAAGATACAAGGAAAATCTTAAATGACTGAGCACAGAGGAATCCCGTCTGTATTCTCCCTTCAAACAAATTATAGCACATTTATTAAACTGTTACCAGCGTATTAGGGACAGTTGTCTTATTTTGCTTTTTTTTGCATTGACTTTGTGAATGCATTTATGGCAGTAGAGTAACTGCAGTATTAGACACTTTAGGCACTGATCTGTAAGGGGTAATCACTTCATCTTCTCTAGGGAAATTTCAGTGTTTTGAGGGAAGTCTCTAAGCATGGGGCACATCCTCGGCACAGACAAGCCTATGCTGCTTCTGCTCCCACAGTGGAGACTCCCCTGTGTGATGAACATGCCATGCCACCACAGAGCCTTCCTTAGAGGTTCAGTGCTCACCCAAGGTGATCTGCACCATGGTCCTTTTGTCCTTGTACAGACACGTTCTGGAAATCAACCAAGATACAAGTGCAAAACTGATAGGTGTAGATCGGTTCCTGCTGTCCAAGGGGGCTCAGGGTGGGAAATTAAGGAGGCTACACTAAGAGCCCAGATTCATAAAGCATTGAATACACTGTTGTGAGGATAAAAATTTTGTATGAAAGAGCTTAATGTGCTGAGACAAAGGAAAAAGGAGTATGTTTCATTGTCCTTCAATAAATACTGTGGATCAAAAGAAAAAATGTAGCTCATTACTAGAAGAAGTATGGGGAAAACAAATCTGATTTCAGAGAGAGGCGATGAACTTCAGAGCATTTACACTTGCATCACTGATATGATAAATAGGAAACACTGGTTTGCTGGCCCAAATAATTGTATCACCAGTCGGGAGATGATTTAAAACTCAGGAGGCCATAAACAGAGATTTATTCTTTTTCCTAAAAGACACAGTGTAGAAACAGTAACAGCTGGAAGAATGTATATGGCAGCACTGCCACTCCGTACTTCCTGATTTGGCCTTGCAGAGTTCTGAGCATAGAAGAGAGCAGTGTTTTACCTGCTTTCTGGTTTCTTTAGACTACCTAAATTGTAATATAAACCTTTTTCATACTTTTTTTTTGCTGCAGGGTGGAGGGCTAGAAAGATTTTTACGAGATGCTGAGATCGTCATGTGAAGATATCTCCAGAAACGGGTTTGGGAAAAAGGCAAAAAAAGCTCTATCAAGTACCATGAGCTTCAGTGAAAAGACAAGACAGAAACTTCTTATGTGGACAGATCCAAACTCTCACCTTCCTCTTTTAAACAGATACAAAAGCCTTTTAGCTAGATGTTTGTTTGGGTTTTGCTTTTTTTGTTGTTTTTCTTTTTCCTATTTTGCTTCAAGAGACTAGTGAGGGAAGACAAAAGGTCTCAGAAAGGTCAAACCCTGTTGAAGGAAGTAGAGATGGTGGGGTGGTTGGCTGTGGTCTTTGCACTGCAATACCACCGGGGTGCAGCAAAGGCTCAGATCAGGGCAACATCACTAACAACTTACGTTCTCTTTTAACACCAGAAGAAAAATATTTGAAGGAAACATGAAGTTAAGGCCTTCAATCATTTTGCAAGAAACAGGAACTCAGGCTATCGTTAACATGGAAACTCAAAGGCAAAGGGAACTCATACCTGTGTGGTTCATATGTCTAGAAGCAGTTTCACAGAAGTATTCATGGGGCTTTTCCCTGATAGTGAAGTCAAGGGCCCCAGTCCTGATGTAATGTAGGAGAGATCTGAGATGTCTGAGGGGATTAGGGGAAACCTAGTGACCTTCAGAGGAATATAAATTTAGGAAAAACAGCCTGAGTCACTGAATCTTATCCAGCTTCCTCAGGCAGTCATGTCATGTAACCCCTCTCATAAATGTTTAAATGCCATCTTAAAAGTAATTAGGTTTTTTGGCCCTCTTCCTCATTTTGAAAAGCCTTCTGGAATCTTAACTGCTCTGATGGTTCAAAACTGTCTTCTAATTTCCAGCCTAAACATATTTGTAACTAGTTTATATCTATTTGATTTTGTGCCAGCATTATCCCCTAATTTAAATAGTTCTTTTCCAGCCCTGGTGTCGGTCCCCCCTCTCCCCTCCTCTCCTCTATGTATTTATAGCAAGCAATCATATGCCCTGACAGCTTTCATTTTGCCTGAATGCACAAGCCAAGCTCATAGAGAAGATGTCTATGCAGTGCAGTGAAATTTGGTGCAGAGATTCCTGAGCTATTGCTGACTCCAGCTGATATGTCTACCTGTTGTGCTGCAGCAATACCAGCTCAGGGCCAGAAGCAGTTCATCCACTTTAATGCAGTTTAAGATAATAAATACAGCTCATCAGCACCACACTGTGATATATTGCTTCTAGAGCAGATAAAGTCCATGGCAGCTCAGGGCTTTCTGCATTGCTCTTCATTGCTCAGTGCAGACATTTGCTAATCAGGCTCCCTGGCTTGATTCCACAACATCCTAATGGGATGCAGTCTTCTAAATCTGTTCCAATTTGACTTTTTTCCCTGACTGTGACTACTTTTGCACCTTATACCACACTCCAGATATGATCTCCCTTATGTCCTGCCCTATGGCCATAATATTTGTCGACTGTCTGCAAAGACTGTGACTGGTTTCATGAGTTATTCCCGTGGTTGCATCACACTGGTGACTCACAGGCATCTTGTGAAAAGCTAGTATATCATGGACCTACTTGTTCTTCCAGTCCTGTGATCAGCTCTCAGCTCATCAGTAATGAGGATGGGGTGTAGGAACAGGTCAGTTTATCACCCAGAAGATAAACTAGGAGTCTTTCTCTTTTTTTCCCCCTACATTATGGGG